CTTCCTTCCTTCCTTCCTTTCTATTTTATATGGCTGCCCATCTCACACAAAGTGATTATTAAAACAGAATATAAAAACCTGTTAAAACAAATAATTAACTTAAGTAAAAACAAGATTGTGAGAGGGTTAAATTAAGATGTTGTACATGGTGCAACCAATGTATGGGCTTTCTGCTGCCAGGGGATCCCCAGACCTGATGAAAAAACCATGTTTTGAGAGCTTTTCAAAAGGCCATAAGGGTTGAGGCTAACCTCACCTCAGTATTCCCTTTCTAGGCAAGGAGATTGAACAGTGGCCAATCAACTCCAGATTCTCTTGGAGGAAACTGATTTCTAGATCTATTTCAATTCAATTTCAGGCCTGGCTATCAATCAGAAACTACCTTGGTTGCCTTGTGGGATGACCAGTGCTGGGAAAAAGACAGGGAGCATGATTCTCTTGGTCCTCCTAGACCTCTCAGCAGCTTTTGTTACTCAATAATTGCAATGATTGTACATGGGGCTGCCTTTGAAAACAATACAGAAGCTTCAATGAGTTCAAAATAGAGCATCTAGGCTGCTCCCTGGGACTGGCTGATATGAACAGATTATGCCAGTTGTTCCCCATCTATGCTGGTTGCCAGTCTGCTTCCAGACCCACTTCAAAGTGCTTTGACTTTTAAAGCCTTAAACAGCTTAGGACCAGGTTACCTGAAGTAATATCTTTTCCCATATGTATTCATCTGGACTTTAAGCTCATCTAATGATGCCCTTCTCCAGGTCCCCTCACTAAAGTAGGTGAAGTGGCTACTAAAGGAGGAGAGCTTTTTCTGTGGTGCCATCCCGTTTATGGAATTCCCTCCCCAGAGAGGCTCAACTGGCACCCACATTAGCATCATTTTGATGCCATATGAAAACATTCCTATTTCCCCAAGCGGTTAAATTAGCTTTTAATTCATATTGCTTTAGTTTCTGAATGATTACTGTGCTGCTGCCTACTTTATATGGTCTTTCTATTTTGTTCTTAGATTTTTTAAATTTATTATAAATAATAATATTTATTATTTTTATAAATAACTCAAGGTGGCAAACATACCCAATACTCCTTCCTCCTTCTATTTTCCTTACAACAACAACCCTGTAAGGTGAGGTGGACTGAGAGAGAGTGACCGGCCCAAATCACCCAGCTGGCTTTCATGCCTAAGGCCGGACTAGAACTCACAGTCTCCTGGATTCCAGCCTGGTGTCTTAACCACTAGACCAAATTGGGGAGGGGGGGGGAATTACTTGATTTTATATGTTTTTACTCAGATTGTATTTTTAGTGTGTTTTATTGTAATCTGCCCAGAGAACTTTGGCTATTGAGTAGCTTAAACATTTAAAAATAAATAAATAAATAAAAATATTGATAAGATGTGCTGCCTCAGTTGTACATTGGATAGGGAAGCTATATGATTCAAATAAGTAAATACATATATACATCCTGGCAACCAGGTGGGGTGGGGAAGGCTCTATAAATCACTTCCCACCAACTCCACTGCATTTTTGAAACAATTTTTACCATTCTTTTACCATTTTACCATTATAAAAGTCTCAGTGACCTTTTGAGAAATTTAGGGTAATGCCATTTTAAATAAATAAACATGGCTTGCAACAAAGATCTAAGCCTAAAAGATGTTCTCTGGTTCACCTAATCTTCAGGACACATGATCCCCACAAAACACAATGCTAGATTCAAGTTTTCCACACTACTCAGGCAGGAATAAAGGGAAAGATTTACAACCCATTTTCAAAGTCGGATGGAGCAGTAGAGCAAACACAGACAGTTAGGGATCAGAAACTTAACCAGGACCAACCTCCTATGGTTTTGAAGTATCATAATTTAGAATCAGGGATCAAATTTCTTAAAGATAAGACTAATTCTTGGTACCAACTTCACAAAGTAATCCAATACTTTTCTGCTCCTAGACAACTTAAAGAGAATGCACATACCTGTCCAACAAATGTCACTAAAATGATAAACAAAAACTGACATATCATAAGCAAAAGAACAATATCTTCAAACTTCTTACCTTTACGAATGTCAAAACTTTCTGGTTGAGTCAACCCATCAATGATTATTTGCAGCGTTTGTTCTGCTGTATTCAATCTTTTTGTTATTCCATCCATCCCTTCTCTTTCGATTATTGCGTTCACTTTTTGCTGCATTTCTGACTTTCCTATATTGCAGTGACTTTCTCCAATAAGTGCTAAAAACCTTATATATAAAATAAAACCAGGATAAGTTAGTAGAAAATATTATTACTTTGGAATCACTAGACCACTCTAAAAAAAAAAAAATTAAAAGAAGAAAAGTTTTTCAAGCCTACAGTACATGGAGGAAAAGCTTAAATAGACAGCACAAAAGAACATTTCTCTCTCTCTCTCTCCACATATATCTATTAAAGCTTCTATTTTAACAAAGTCCCCATCTAATAAAGTTGGATAGCATGCCTAGTTTAGATTATGTAATAGCTTAAGAAAGGGTAAGATAGATTCAGTGGTTACTAGTCATGAGGGCTACATATTATCTAGAGTTAGAAACAATGTTTCTAGTTATCAATTCTGAGGAACAAAATTATAGGGTGCTATTGTACTCCTGTCCTCTTTGTGGCCATCTCATAGCATGTGGCTGGTGACTGTGGGAACAAAATGCTGGACAAGACAGGTCTTTTGCTGATCCAGCAATGTGTTTCTTATGATCATAACATCAAACCATCCGCGTACATAATCTCATTATTGGCAACAATCCTAAACTGACAGCCATAAAGTTTGCAACAGGCCGTAATAGCATGGATGGCTAGTTCAGAGGTCCCAAAGAACAATTTTGTACTGAATAATCTGGACCTCTTAATTATGAAGGGGAAAGGAGAGTGAAGAGTATCTGGAGAGAATACAGAAGAATTGCTTGCCATCATGGGATTGGAGGAGTGCACATAAGCAGATTTCTGACCGTGAAACAACCATAGGTAGTGCTGACATTTGCTAAATTAATTTGCTTGGTGGGTCTGAATCAAATCTGAGCCAAATGTAGGTGTCATGATTTTATTGCCAGGAACGTGTTCCAAGCTACAGTTCTACTACCTCATCACTGAGGTAGCAGAGTTTTGCTTCCAGTAGCTTCTGACAATCTGGTACTAGGAACAGCCAACCACTTTCTGGATCCAGTCGTGAACTACATATCAGGGATGTGCAGCACTTTGGATTCAGTTCCAGAAAGGTGCTTCGGAGCACGTAAGGGAGGGCTGTGAATTTAGCACCTCTTTGCAGCTCTTTAAACTGGCTGTGCCTTTTCCTGGGATCACACAGCTGAAATCCTGGGAGTCATAACTGCTTTTAAAAGTTGCCAGCATACCTTACAACTGTATCCCTTTGTGCTCTTAAGCACAAAGATTTCTTTTGGCATCAAATCAGAAGCACTGCACAACCCTACAAAATGTATAACTTTGCTATGAAAAATTAGCAATTCAGGCACATGTTAACACACGGATGCATCGCTTTTTAAAAAATGGAATACTAATTAATACACAGTTGGGGTTCCTTTCCTATTTGAACATATGTTTAATATAACATGAGGAGCTAGAAAGCACTATTGCTAGGCCAAATCCTGCCCAAATTAGGGTTACTTTTTATTTTTCTAAAAAAAGACTTCATATTTTCATGTCAATTGTGAGAACTGCCTTCATCTTCCAGGTGCCCTTCTGGGATTTGCCAGGTGACACTGCCCTGTCAACTGGTAAATCTCTGAAGAAAACCAAGAAGCCTTTGCAAGCCGATGGAAGCTTTTATTCTCCTACGTGAAAGAAAGTAAGGCAGGTGCCCCCTTGTCCTCTCCCACTAAAGATTTCAGAAGAAATCCTCTCCCACTCAAAATTTGCCTTGTTCCCTTTAATCTACCCTCATCCTTCACAAATGGAAGGAATTAAAAGGAAGTGAAAAAGTTCTGCACAGCATTAGAAAATGAACAATATAATAATGACAGCAAGGTATGTCAAAAAACTAGGGAATTTTTAATGTTATTGTTAAATGTTCTAGGCAGAAAAGTTAACATTTCTACAAGGATAGTATTTTGTACTAGTCAATAAAATTATACTATATATCACTGTACTGCTCTTGTAAATCTGTTCCTGAGCATCTCCTGACATTTAAATGGAGTGGATTAATGAGCTACATATTAGGAATGTCTTGGTCCTTATTTATTTAAATAACATTATCTGCAACTTTAATAGAAAAAATTCCTATATATTTCTGAAAATGTACTTTAGATGCTTAGTCTAAATCTCTCTTTCAGCTTATCATTGAGTGAACAGAGGAGGCAATAATGTGGCTATCTAGGACAGGGAAATCTTGGCATTCATTTAATTCTTAACTGACTACAAGCCTAGAGATTCTACTATGTTTATCTGAAAGGAAGAAAGACCTGCTGAAACCAATCCCGAAAGCTCTCCCGCCAATAAATATGGCCATGTGACATAATTCCATATAACTTTACATTTAGACACACTCCAAAAATGGCAACACCAGGATAAAAAATCCAATTAAAATGAATTGAATAAGTACCGATTAAAGTTAAACGCTTGCAAAAGAAAGCATCTAATTTCGAAAATTAGATCAATCCTTCATCTCCTTATGGATACAAAAACAATTCTCCATCTCACATGTGCACATAACTACAGTACACTCATACAGCCTCCAACAGAAACAGTCTAAAGAAAAAAACACTGAGGGGGGATGGGGTAAGGGAGGGGTACCTCCTTTGGGAAGGAGAGGAAAGAGAAGGGAAGGGGTACTAATTGGGATGAAAATGGACAAAGGAAAAGGCATAAACAGGAAAGGAATAGCAAGAGAGAAACTGCGGAAAGTTTAACCTGTGCTTATGCTAGGCTCGGCAAATATAAATCAATGGATGCACATCCTGTCCTATAATTTCAGTGGCTTTCATTCCAAGGTATGCATAGAATCTTTAGTCCTCAGTTGTGAAATTATGCAGCAGTCTTCTCCCATTAAAAGGGGAGCAGAATAAGACAGTGCTAGCTTACCCTCTGCCACTGCCCTCCACTGCAGAGGGTAAGGGCAATGAGGCAGAAGAGGGGAAAAAGCCACCACTATAGCTTCTGTCTTGCTGAGAAGGAGGATGCTAGAGAAACGGTCAGAGCCCAAGAGACTCTCTATCCCAGAACTCCACTCCACATATTTCTAAAGGTTTCGCTCTCAGTGAGAAAGAAGAAATGATAGCTGGCTTCTCCTGCTCTCCTTGTTTATACTATGTATTTGTACCTACACGGCTCCAACTCCTGTTTATTCCCTAGCATTTGTCTCTTGCAAATATTAGGCAACCTTTCCAATGCAAAATTAATTATTTGGGAAAAGTTCAGGTGATACCTTTGTGTGTGGATCTCAACATCCAAGGAGTGGTAAGCAACTTCTTCCCTCTCAAAATCACATTGTGACCTCATGAATAATTAGTTGGCCCTAGGAACAAATGCCTGCAGCAGAGACTATACTTTTGAGTTGGAACTCTGCACTATCCTGGAAGATGGCTGTTCTACTTCAGCTTGAACACATCCAGTGAAGGGAGTTCATCACCTCCCTTGGCAGGTGATTCCACTGCTGAAAGGTTCTTACTGTTAGGAAGTTGCTCTAACATTGATTCAAATCTGCCTTTCTATAACTGAAATCCATTAATCTGTGTCCTGTACTTTGGGACAGCAGCAGCAACAACCACAAAAGGTCTTGCACTTCTTAAATGTGACACCTCTTCAGTTACTTGAAAACTGCTATTATGTCCCCCCCCAGTTGTCATTTCTCAAGGCATTTGATTTCTTTTTCCAAAATGAAAAACACATTTATCACTATTAAATTCCATTTCCTATTTTCAGCCCACTTCTCTAACCTATCAAGATCACTCTGAAATCTATTTCTGTCCCTCTGAATATTAGCTGTGTCATCTACAAAGTAGCAAGAATTAGCCAGATGAATTGTCACTGACATTGAAGAAACATGCAGTAAACAATTTCTCTGCATTACAGCCTGAAGTTTAGTGTACGTGCCTTTGCATATAAGTTCCCAAATGAATAAGTCTTTCTTAACTCAATTAGCCAAGGTGGAATAGGTAGCCTTGAAAACAGAAAAGCAGATTTAAATTCAGAGGCAAAAGTTAATAAGGACATTTTCAATTCTGGAATGACATGGGCAAAAAGGTATTCTTTCTGCATTGTTGTTGTTGTTTAGTCGTTAAGTCGTGTCCAACTCTAAGATGCCTTTTGTATTTTGGTCTCCTTAATAATGTAAATCAGGATTAGGCAAATTTTGCTCCCCAGCTTCCAATCTGTGACCTTCAGAGCTCCCCAAGATTCAGCAGTATACTTCTGGGTTTTGGTGTGGTTTTTGGCTGCCCTTCCTGAGGTACAATCCTTAACATAATTCTTTTTCCACAGTGCTTAACTACTGAGAACTTTTAACACTTCCTATACTCTAAAAAAAAAAAAAAAGTCCAAATGCCTCTCAGTGACCTCACTGTATGACCAGACATAACCCTGAGACCTTGTGAGATTAATAGTATGTTTTTCAAAAAATACAGCTCCAGTTCAAAAATAAAACAGACCCCCCCGCCAAAACAAAACCCAAACCCTTATTTATTTAGCCATAGCATAAAATTGGTAGAAATTTGCTAAGGAATGTTCACTGGTCCAATGTCTCTGACAGGGAATGGCTGAATTTTAATGTAGATAGATGGACATTGACACACTAGTGCAGACAAACAATGTCTAAGCTTTGATTAACTTGGCAGATGTAATGTGAAGCATCCTATGAGCTGACATTTTCATAACCTAATTGCCTAAATCAGCAAACTGACACTCTCCTAACTGAACTATCTAAATCAGGCTTTCTCAAATTTGGTCCTCCTCACTTAGGTGGACATCAATGATCGGAAATCTCAATCAGCGTGATATTGTAAGAATTCTGGGAGTTGACAGGCATACCTTAAAGAGTGCAGAGGTTCAGGAATGCTAGTCTAAATAATACAGTAGAGTCTCGCTTACCCGACATAAATGGGCCGGCAGAACGTCGGATAAGCGAAAATGTCGGATAACAGGGAGGAATTAAGAAAAAGCCTATTAAACGTCATAGGCTAGACACGCGCGCCTGGTGCACCTGTTGCAATCGATTTTTGCGTTGTGGCGCCGCACCATCAGGAGCAACAAGAAAGAGAACACT